ATGAGATGATAATGTTGGGGCCTCTTGAGTACTAATAAATCAGACTGGCAGCCTACTTTATATGAATTCTGTACAGTCCAACCCAACTTGGAACACTCCCAAGCAGAGGATGAGCAGCCAGAAGAACTGACAGCACCTGTGTTCTAATCACAGCTTCAGACCACTTGAGTTTTGGCAAAACTAGATTTTTATTTACTTTATACAATACATTAAAGTGCTTGGTTTTAAACCCAGGGTAGCAGGAATGCATTTCCAAGGTTCTTGTCTTTGTTGCAGAACCTGAAAGCAAAAGAAACAACCCACTTATCAGATTACCTCCTTACTAGTCAAAATCAGTCTGTTAACAAAGTTTTATTCTTAATTCTAATTATCGTCTTCTGGTTATCATCAGGCATATTCAGATACTCACTCGAACCAACTCTCCCTAATGCCATTCTCTCTGAATACTGGATCAAATTCTGCAACTACCATGAAAGGAATCGTGCAGGCAGAGAAATTCTGTAATAGAATACACCTACATGACTGGTGTCAAAAAACTGGCTGAAATCAGGATCTCTTTCCTCCTCCAGCTTTAGAGGCTGTAATTTAGGTTTATTTTCTCTTTGGAGAGTCTGGGCAGCAAGCCTTTTCCTTGGCAATGGCATCTGCAAGAAAATAGCAGTTGTGTTGGGTTAGAGACACATTTAGGTCCTGTCGTACTTTTGCTGACAACTGTGTATGTGTGGGTAAAAACTGGCTAAATACAATGCCAGTGTCAAAAACCCTGTCATGACCTGGATATTTAAAGGTATGCAGGCATGAATTAGTTACTGGATTACAGAACACAGAAAAGAAGAGAGGAAGAAAGATTTTATACAGAGCACTTACCATCTTTTCATAACATACAGGATATGCAACACCTCTTGGTGCCAGGATCACTGGCTATGGGAGACTTAAGTGTTAACAAAACCTCAGCTTCAAGCTACTCCTGAATGGCAAAATGGAGGCCTATAGCGCTGGCTCAAGTTATACACTTGAATTCTATATCTGAAATTCAGATCCAGGTTTATGTATACTCTGAGTAATGATAATATGAATGTTTTCTCAATAAAGAGCTTTCAAGGAAAAGGTGTATTTCTGTTATAGGACTTCCTGCTTCTGCTTGCTCTGGGTGCCAGTGAAGGTTGATTACAGCATCTGTGAAAGGAAATTTCTCAGACATAGTCTCACCATGCATATATTAAGATGATGTTCCTTGCTTTGATAAAAGAAGCAAAAAAGATTTACAGATTTTCCCTGTGATAATTACTTATTTTTTCCTTCCAGTTTTGACTTTTTCTTAGTGTTTCTCTTTTATTGGACACTAAGCTACATAATGATTAAGAACATATCAGTTGCCACTTGAGTCTAGCTCTCTCACTCCTAAAGCAAAACCTGGATCATGTTAGCAGCATGGATGGGCAGTTTTACCAGTGATGTCTGGCAGGTGTCTTAGTGCCACAGACGTCTCTTACTGAGGCATCATGGCAAGTTTTAAATGTCCTTTTACAGGGTATATCTAAAGTCCTTTTCAAGAGCAACTTCGTGCCGCCGTGCAAAGCAAATGCTATGACTGATTCTGCACAAGGACAGAATGTGTCACCTTCCCCATCAGTGACGTGTTTTCACCAGTACTCGTGAAGTGACCCTAGTGTGCAGTGAGTGGCACAGATGAGGCATATGCAGAGATTTACCCATTCTGAGAAATCCAGCTCCTCTACCACCCAACAGAGCAAGGGAGAAGAGGGGCTATCACAATCAATCTAGAGATTGTATTTACACAGGAAGTATCTTCTTGTCTTCTACAAAGTACTAGCACCTCCTGGTACATTCAGGTTTCAGATGGGTTGGGCAAGGTAAACCAGCTGCACCTCCAAACTGATAAATAGTGTTTTGTTCCTTCCCATCTTCTCAAAGTTCACCCCGATGTGCACCTACCCATTTGCCTACATCTGATAAACAAGTTATTTTTTGTATTTTATCTCCTTGGACACAGTATTATTAAATTTTAAAACAACCACAATCATATTCTTCCCTTTGCAGGTATTGGTACACCTCAGTAAATGTGCTTTATACTTTTAAAAGGAGGTGAATATCTCTTTCTTGCCACAGATATATTTAATATTAAAAATATGAAAAATCCATATGGATTAAATATTGATTTTATTTTTTAGAGAGCAAGTACAATGATGTTGCATTAAAATAATGCTATGTCTTAGTTGTTACAGCTCTGATAGAAAAATAAACATCTCAATATGCTACAGTGTAACTCATTAATAAATATCACAATAGAAGTTAGTAGTCAAATGAAATTAATAAAACAGCTATAAAAGTATACTATTTTAAATAATAAAATATTCAGTATATTTCCAGATGAACAAAAGTAGTGATTTAAAAGTATCATTCAAAATGTAAAATGAGCAGTAAGAAGTTATCAAATTTAAAAACCTCTTCCCTTACTAACATTCTCTATGCATAAAATCTAGACACACATTATTTATCTCTCTATATTTATTTTTTACAAAAGGTAGTATACATTAAATAAAAAGTTTAAAACTGTAGTATTATTAATAGCTGTCACACAATTGCTAAGTAAGACACTTTAAAGTAGCATTATTTTTTAAGCAGTAGTAGGTAAGAAGATGTCAGCAGAGTGAATTCATCCAACATTAATGACTCTGCAAAAGACTCATTTTTCAACATCTCTCTTCAAAATATAACTGAAACAATCCAAATATGATGTAGGTATCAGGATGAAATGTTAGAACTTGGACAGAAGTAATTATTTTAACAAATGCCAGATATTTTTTTAATAGGTACCATTTTTTTTTTAAAGCATGTTCAGAAAAGGAAACAAAGAGAACATGAAATTCATAACAGCAGAAAGCTTAAGAATCTAGAAATTTAAGGTTTTTTCTTCCCCCCTGCCCCCTGACAGGCCAACCATTCTGAGCTGAATTGCTCTCAGTGAAACCTCACTGATTTGGCATGCTATAAATATGCATTCCCGCTGGTTAACTTTAACATTTTCTCCCCCCATCCAAGAATTTCAATCCTCTGTAAGAGCCAACAGATACCTGTGCATCAGAGCAGTCTCAAGATCAGAATTAAAAATTAGTGTTTTTCTTAAGTATTGCTTAATTTCTGCTTTCCCCTCTGTTGCAAAATGGTAGCCAGGACATTGTCACCAGGCGTCACTCGCAGTCGGGACAGAGTAGAAGTCACCCAGCACTGACTCAGCACAAATGCGTCTGTGACAAGTGCCCTTTACAGCCACTGTTACATTCCTTAAGGCTGGCTGGTGGAGATCCAGGGGCCGGTGGGAAGTCAATGGGCAGGTGCCCAAACGCTCCCCAGGAGCTTTAATGGAGGGCTGCAGCATCCACGTTTACAGGCTGTCCCTTGCTGGGTTGTGTGCAGGCATTTTTGATGAACAAAGGTGCGAAAAGCCTGCAGCATTAGGGTTCAGACTGCACACAATGCAGCCCCAGTCTGGGGCAAGTGCCTGCGATGCAAACCTAGGGCACCACCACTGCCGAGCCAACCTACTTTGAAGAGGTTTCCTGCCCTGACAAAAGGCAAAGTGAGATCTCAGAGCATCATTTCTGCACGGATGCTGTGGGGATCCCCAGCACTCACTGTCCCTCTTGAAGCCCCACACAGGCAGCCATGCCCTTGCATGTCTCTGCCCTGGGCATCACCAGAGCCTATGTCTATTTTAGGATGGAGGGGTGCTTGAAGCTGTTTCACACATTTACTCCCATGGTTTGCAAAACATGCACACTAAGCAGGAAATAAATATTATATATGATCAGACTGGGAAAAAAATATTTTTCCATTGCAGTCAGAAGAATGCTTTACATAGCAGGTTTTCATGACATCACAGAGAGGAAAAAATAAATCCAGTTGTAAATAATAGCTAAAATGTAAACTATGCCCATACGAACATCCTTCCTTTTTATGGTTCATTTTTAACGTCCTTGCAAATGTAAGGGAATTTCAGCTGGGCACAATGAAAATTCCTTGCATACCATGTGCACGTTTTCTGGATGAAACAGCTATTTTCCCACACATTTCTGTAGCAATCTTATTAGTGTAGTCATGAATGCTTGGAAAGAACTATTTCATAGCATTTCTTCATTTTATAGTACTCAAAAAAATCTGAAGGAAAATACATACTTTTTAATTACATAAACATGCAGTTTCTGAAGTGTCAGGCAAATAATGGGTCAAAGGTTAAAAAAGGGCACTAGAACTGGAAAAGTATACATATGGATTTTAACAGTAACAAATATGCTGTTAAAAGTCATGCACATGCTTCATTTGTGGGACCAAATCTAAAAACAATTCTCCAAACCAATGATGAGATGCAGCAGTATCTGCTGGAATACTTTTGGATATAAGCATGCAGTAGAATTATTGGACTCCTTTCCAAATTTTTTTGAAGAAGCCCAGTATAAGAAGTGTTATTTGAGAACTTTGGAACGCTCTATTCTGAGGTTAGTTACTTTTCCCCCTATTTTTATGAGCATTTTTGACATACAATACATTGAAAACTAATATGAACTAATTTGTCTTTAATATCTCCCATATTAAGCACTATAGGAAGCACAGTCCTTCTGCAATCAGCGAAGAAATTCCTTGTGAATTAAAGGCTGCTTTCTCATTTAAGGTCATGTGCTGAGGGAGCACAGCTCCCTAAATAGTGAGGCTTTTGTTGAGCTATTCATCTCCTGCAGCAGCTCTTCTGAAAAACATGGTCAAAGGCAGAGGGAAACAAGTACCAAGCAAAGCCAGAGTTTCTCATGGATAGATTCCATCCCTAGAAACAAAGCCTCCTCCCAAGAATCCTGCTCTGTATAAGCTCCCCACGGGCCTTCTAAAAGCCTTGACCTGTCACATTAGCAGCAGCTTATTCTCTTTCACCAGCCTCTTCCACAATACAGCAAAACCATGAGGGAGATGCAAGAAAGCTTTTTCTATTTTTTTTTTTTTTTTGGTTAATTTATATACATTTTTTTAAAATTTCAGGACAGCAAGCAGCTTACAGTGCAATTTGTCCTGTGAGCCTGCTCTTTTTGATTTTAGAGCATTTTAAACATTCAGGCAGGTGTCTGATAAGGGAATACTGGCCGTGCCCCTTCACAGGCAGCAGTCCAATGCCAAATGCTACAGAAGAAAAGCAGTAGCAGCGTGATGTGATGTGTCTGGAAGATGGGTATTACAGCTCAAGTCTTTCTTCCACCAAGAACCCAGTTTCATCATCCCTTACTCACAAAACTGAACTCCCTCTAACAGTGAAAAGTAATTTGTAATGAAAAAAAAATATTTATCAGTTCAGTAAATGCTTTAGTACATGCTTTAAAGGCTATTATGGATGAAAATAGATTCTGAGGAATCTTTTTTTGTAAAGGGTTTATCACACTGTTTAAAGAACATAATTAACCTTTTTTATATACTTAGATATACTCCATTAAGCATTTTTAAAATTTAAGTTAAATAGACAACCAGAGATTGTTTCCCACTCACAAATAGCCATGAATTGTGACAAGGGTAACAGCAGGTCAACCTTTATCAATCTTTTACCTTTATCACATCAAAACAGTTGTTTGAAATCTTTTAATTTACACAGGAGGAAAATGATCCTATATACTTTAAAAGAAAATGAGAGTTAAGGTGTAGTTGGTAGACTACGGAATTAATCTATAACTAAGGTTTTACAATTAAGCTAACACTAAAGTCAGAGTCAGTGTAAAGAAACACTCTTTTTGTTAAATGAGATAATTTTACCTGTGTGGTAGAAAGCTCAGGACTTACTTTGGAGACTGCTTTAAAAACATTTAATAGTCCAATTTACACTTTTAAAAAAAAAACAATCCCTAAGCTTTTATGATTAATGAAAGGCCCATTGTCTGTGTATTATTTTTCTCAATCCCACTTGATCCATTACCCAAGAAACTTAACACACATAAAACACTCATCATTTTTCTACACCCTGCCTTCCTTTCAGTCCTCACAGTCCTCAGGTTTCAATGAGAATTTAAAGAAAAAATACAGAATAGGAAATACAAGTAATTTCTAAAGACTGCGCATAAGGAAGTCCTGCTTTGTTTCTTTAACTCTTATCTATGACAAGTAGTGACAGTATTTAGTATTAGTAATAAATGTTGGTGAAATTATACACTGTCTTCTGAGATGATTTTTCTTTTTGCCAGTAAGGTTTTAGTGCATTAGAGGTTGACCAGATTTTCATAGGGTTTCAGCAGCATAGAGTTACTAAATCAGACTGACGCTTCCAACAACTATATAACAAAAACACGTGTTCTACCACTCTAGCTGGTTTCAGGGATTAAAAAAAGATGCTTCTGCTTGACTTTGTAGCTCACATTCTGCTCTCAGATAAGCTTATATTGGTCCCACTGTGTTTGGAAGAGTTTTGCACACTTCTGAAGGCAGAATCTGATCCATATTTATAAAGTCAGTTAATGTGTTCTTTTGAGAAAAAGACTCTTATTTTCCTCACTTTCTTCTAAATTGCAGGTTCTTTTCTCCATCACACACTGGACACATTTCTCAATGCACAGTCACAAAAAACTGAAGTAGTTACAAAAACCTTAGAAAACCTAATCTCATCAACTAATTTACACAGAGAAAAAGAGCATATGTAAAATCAGACTTATGCCTGACATCATACACAAGATCCAAGTCCTTATTTGGCAAAACACTGACATGTAGCTAGCAAACCAAACACAGCTCTGGTGTAATTTATCTATTTGCAATGGATTTGATGCTGCTGACTCTAAAGGCATAGTCTGCTGGCAGTGATCATCATGTAGACTATGTTGTTGGGTAGAGGAACTCTCATTTTCTGTAGTCACTCAGTTTCCAAACACAATAAATTTTGTATAAAATGGGGGCATTATATTTAAACAAGTAAAAAAGCTTACAATTACTCTTTATCAGATATAAATTATCCTTAAGTGACATCATTCATACAAAAAACCTTATAAATATATAATTTACCTGTGTGTGCATGCATGTGTATGTATACACACACAACATACACCTATACCAGGAACTAAACACTCATTTAATCCCATTATTTTATGGAAAAGATAAGAGGAATAAACAGACAAATCAGTGGAATCTGTCAACTGAGAGAACTATAAAAGTACCATTTACTCTATTTAAGAGCATTTTAATAGTTTCATCTATTGCTATAATATACAGCAATGTGAATACTTCAGTCACAGCTTTTGTCCATTCCCACAGAGCACATCAGTGCTAGCTACATGTAGAGTGAGATCAGTGCTTTGTCAGACCGGTTTGTATCTACATTCTAGGCCATAACTAAATAAATTAGAATATGCTAAAGTGCTACATCAACACTAATGTTTCTGAACAGTAGTAACGCACATTTCTCTTTCAAAAAAAAAATTTAAAAAAATACAGCAGCTATAGTTCCAAACATAACCACATAATGTGAATATGTTTACATGTCACTTTGTTACAGTATTCAACAAAATGCACAACACAAAACCATATGGCAACAGTCAAGACTCCCACAGAGTACAAAAGGTAATTTCTTAAAAGTCGAGCTTGATGGAAATAGACATTTGCAGTCTTCAGAATTCACACTTGAAAGTTTCATTTAATCGCAACTTGCAGATGTCGATATTTATTTCCTCTGGTTTGTCACGTCTGTATGTTACTGTTCTTGTACAAACTGTAGGCAAAAACATCTTATCCTTGAAGGAGAAGATACAATTTTTATCAGCAATTAGCTAACTTTTATATGCAAGAAAAATATTACTGAAGATGATGGCTCTGAAATCAATTACCTTCTTAGTTGTAGATACTCTGTAATCAGATGAAGATTTAACTTTATTGCTACTCCCCTGCAGAATTATCTGCCTGATGATAAGGACAACAAGCAACCCAATCAGAAAGGTAACTATAAAGATTATGGAAAAGACTCTAAAGTAGTTTCGTCCAGAGAAACAATCTGCAATGAAAGGAAAACACAAGGGTAAAGGCTAATTTATGGAACAGACACACCCTCTAACAGAGGCATATCCACCACTGCTTAGTAACTTATTAATGCTGCACAAATGTAATACAAGCCTGATAAAAATTAAGGGAAAATAAATTAAGGGAAATTAAGAAGAAAATATGCAAGCTTTTAAAGTGGGCATATCAAGAAAGGCAATTCAGATCAAGATCCATTGTAGAAAAATAGTGAAACAATTATTCCTTTAATCTACAGAACTTAGACTCAGGCTTCATTGTATTGCCCACCATAAATTCTGTGTAGACCAGTGAGTTTATAGCTGAAGTAGAGAGGATGAAATATAAGAGATGTTTGGGGTTGAGAGAATTTAATCTTCACAAGATGACAGTGAAGATCACTGGTAAAATTTGAAAGAAAATGTGTTTTATTGAATCCTTGCCCAGTGCTCTCCTCACAGGCAGACTAACACAGTAAGCTTTCCTTAATATTGAAGTTACGAGAAAAGTATTCACAATTAGTTTCCTCATTTATGAACTGTAGTATAAAAGGATTTATATAAATGTTAAGTGACAAAAGGTAACCATTTACCTGCATTTTTATTGCTGCATGGGGTGATTAAACTTGATAAGATTTTATTGAAAAAGATTTTATTCTTCCACAGCCCTCATAACTGCAGTTTTTTATACTTGAAAGGAACTTTTAAACATTACTGAACTTGAGGTAAGCATTCTACTTCTTTCTTTCCTGTTTCTGGTAATGTAAAATACTATACGCATGTTCAAAGTAATAAAACATACAGATGCCATAACAAATTTTTATAAATATTTCTTTAAGCATTGCTCAGGCAGGATTCATCATTATTAGACACGACTTCTCAAGGAGCTGGGAAAACTGAACTTAGCAATGCTTGACAATCTTATTTCCTGTTATTATTTATCTTTTACTTTCCCTAAAGCTATGAATGATTTTTCTCTTTTTCCTGCTTTCTTTCTTTGTAATTGCAATAATGTGATATACTTCTGAAAGACATTCTAACATTGGCAAATTCAATTACTAATTGCAATAGATTTTAATCTCTTATTAAAATTACCTAGAAAATGGCACTTACCTGAAGTATTATCAATATAATGCAGTAGATAAGTGCATGAGGTTGTGCACTGGTCAAGTATTACTTGAGATGCATTATTAGAATGATAGCACTGAACACAGTTCCTGTAAAATAAAAATTATAATTAAAAACCTATGTCTTTCTCTGCACTCCCCTTTAAGAGATTGTATCAACAAGCTGACGTATTGCTTGCACATAATGCTTTCCTGTTGTTAGTAAAAACATTGCGACATTTATTTATTTTTTTCTGAAATATGATGCCTCTCTCAGCAATTATCCCTCTGATGCTTCTCAGAACCAGCTACTCAGAAGTTGCAAACTAAAACATGTCTTTGGCTTCAAGCCACCTTCATCCAATTCTGCCTTTTGTGATTCAAGGGTGTAACTGAGGTCCAGTTTTCTTCAGCTTTCAGCCTCCACTTTCTAGTCCTTCCTTACCTATCAATCTCATTCAGATGCATGCTGGAATTGAAGAGTAGAGGTAGGTAGAGGAAACAAAGCTTTGTCAATAATTTTTGGGTGCTATGTTAAGACAAAGCCAAGTAAGTCTGCACTGCTGAGCAGTTTAGACAGAGAGCATGACAAGTGGGAGGCGATGCTCTCAGTCTTACTGTCTTCACCGTATAGCTCTGAAGGAGACAGATGTCACAAGAGATCTCAAAAAAAGCCCTAACTGAATTTTTAATGAAGATATGCCATCTTCTGAATTTATTAAAGGCACACATTTCACAGTGACCTTGAACAAGTGTAAACCAGAAAGGTTAACTGCATTTTATCTAGTGAAATCTTAGCAGCAACATTTCCAGATGTGGCCAAGCTTGGTTCTCCAGCATTTTCACCTGATGAGATAAAATTAAAATAAATACAAATAAACAATGATTCTGTTTTCAGCGCAATGAAAGGCTGATCTTTCACCCTCTGCACCACATTGATCTGAGATGCAGAACATTACATGTGTGACGAGAGGGTGCAGAAGAGACGTGCCCAAGGAAAGGGCTTCATTTGCTCTCTGTGCCAGGGCCACACAGTACACCACTGAGAGCCTGGCCTAGCTTGTCCCCTCCTGGGCTTGCTCATTTCAACCTCCACACTGTCCCTTCCTTTACAGGAGTAAGGAAAAATGACATGCTTTAAGACGAGCATGGCAAAGACTAAGTGTTTTGAAACTGAGCAAAGAGGAATGTTGTTCTCTGGGTAAGACAATACACAAGTACTGCTCTAGCTCCACACCACTTTCTTTCAGCTGAAAAGCACAAGGATTATGCAAAAACTAATGTGGAGAACATTATTTGACTGGGAAAAATTCAAAAGTAGGATCTATTTTCCATTTTTAAAAATACAAATTTATGCTTTTATTTCCTACCCAGGAGACCTTATATGAAGAATGGTTAAAATAGATGCTGACATGCAATTCTCTTAATTGTCAGTGTGAATCCAGCTACACAGAGAAGTACCAAGTGTGAATTGCACCAGTTTCCTAGAATCTAAATAGCTACAAATCATAAGCAGAAATATTTCTTCATGTTTCAATATTAGGGAGTGAAAAAGTCAAGTCTAGCACAAGAAACATACCAGTTTTCTTCACAGGCTTTGTTACAAGTAGGACAATATTCACAGAAACGTCCAAAGCTTCTTGGGTCTGTGCATTCACACTTTCCACATACACATTTTCCTCTTCCACTGCAAATCTGGCCCTTTGAATTCAGGCAGTGCTTTGCTGATTGTGATGAGCACTCGCAACGATCACCTTCCCAGCCAGCAAAGCATTTGCATTTACCACCTTCACATTCACCATTACCTATAACACAGAGAGTCTGGAGTCATAGGCTTCCATGAAAACAGAAAACAAATTTTAGATGGATACATTTGTACTGCTTGTGCTTTACCTTGAACAGAGAAAATTTAGACCTTGACTTTCTAATTAGTTTTTAAGTTAATAACTTGGACTGAAGTTACTGGCATGATCAATATTGAAGACTGCTGTTCATTGTTAAGTTGAGCATAAGTTGCTACTATGATGTCACCCTAAAACCTTTCACTAAAATTCTGCTCTTTTGCTTTGGATCAAAACAATGGAGATTAGGAATTACACAACGACCAGGAAAATAGTCTTCAGGCAAACTAAACAAACTTCTCTTTAGCAAGAAAACATTCCATTCAAATAAACAACAAGATTCAGTGGAAGAAGGAGTATAAAGTTCATGTGGACAGGCCAGGTTCTTTCCTTCCTTTTCATTTTCCATTTCCACTTCCATTTCCATTTCCATTTCCATTTCCATTTCCATTTCCATTTGCTTTTTTTCTTTTTTTCTCTCTTCCCTACCATAAAGCAGACTACAAAAAGAATGAGAATTTCTAACAACACTGTTTCACTTAGAGTCTCCTTTCTGAAGCAGGCATTGCCTACAGTGTTCATGTTCATACCAGTATTTGAAATCAAGTGTGTATGTCTCACAGGACTCATTTAGGGTGGTAGAAAACCAGAACTTCACCTGGAAGCTATGATCTCTTCTTAATCTCTTCAGTATCTCATATTCCCATTATGCTAAAATGTATCAACTAGCTTCCTGGAATAATGTTATTTTTTGTTTGAGAAATCAGTATCATTACTTATTAAGAATTTTGAGATTTAAATATTAAAATAGCTAAACTTTGGAAAAAACTCAATGTATCCCTTAAAAAATGGTGGTGAAATTCAGAAGACAGTGCATATGCCAATGGTGAAGAGAGCCCTGGAGTGGAAATTCCTAACAGGGTGTTCAGGACATTTCCCACACTAATTCTGCACAAACAATTCTAGTTCTTGACAGCCTTATATCATTGTTTTCAGCTGCATCATGTAAAGTAGCCTCAGAAAACAAAACAAACCAAGAAAATACTGACATAAACACTGCAACTTACCAGAACACAAGTTTCCCTGGTGATACGGGCAGGAAAAATCATCCATTTCACAGTACTTGCCATACACCTTGCCTAGCTTGTTTTTGAAGCAGAAACATTTTCCATCTATGCAATTTCCTTGACCACTGCAGATGGGCTGGTCCTGGTGTTGCCGGCACTTCTCTGAGGGAAGCGTGTCTCTGTTAGAGCCACAGTTACTGTCACTGCACGGGGACTGTTTGCTGTCAGGAGAAGTTTCTTCAGCCCACACTCGTTTGTGCCCTGTGCTGTCTCCATACTGGCAGGCACAGCTTTGCTGCACATTGACAATGGCAGTTTCATTGAAACCAATAGGCTTTAGTATGACATATTTTCTTCCTCCAGTTGTATGACATCCTTTCATTGTAACTGATACATTGAAAAGTACCTAAAAAGAAATAAAGACCGATTTAACATTATTATTATTTTCTTGCTTATATTTGCTTAAAATTTTTAACACATAAATAAAGCAGAGTCTTATATTGTATATGAATGTGCACTAGCTGATAATAGCAAAATACACAGTGGTCACTTGTCAAACATGATGTATTAGTCATGATAGACATCACAAATACAGTTAAAATCCAAACAATAGAGGATTGACAGAAGTCTACTTTCAAGTTAAAAAAGCATAGTTGCAAAAGACAAGTTTAATACAAATTAAATGGAAATAGAAATATCATTGCTATCCTCCTGCTGTTATTTAACATGTATATTCTGTTATATCACAGGACTATTTAGATAAGAATTGGGATTAGATTGAGCAAGACAATACACAAACAGAAACAGAGATACTCTTCATAAAAAGAATCTATAATGAATGTCCTGCATCAGAATTGGTCATGCACATACATATAAATCACACAGGTTTTTGGATGGCTCTGGCTACCCTACTAAAATACAGAAACAGCTCACATGTTAGCAGTTACTTTTCCCAATTCCGTGGACCCAGTGTCTGGCTCCAGGCCATGTCATGGCCATCACCACCATCCTCCAGGTCCTCATTCCAGCAGTGCCCACTACAGCAGCAGCTCCCATGGCTTTTTGTAGTCCTGGTACAGGACCCAGGATCATTTTGGTGGTTAGGTGATTGCCATAAAGTTTCCATCAATCACCCCTAAAAGTTTTTGACTGAATGTGTGATGCACTAGATATCAATCTTGTATTTTATAATTATTTCTTTGTTTTTTTTGTGACCAGTATGCTTCTGACAGAGTATTCTCTCTAAGGTTTTGAATTTTTTCATCGTCCTTATGTAAAGCAACTCTTGATTCCTCACAAAAAAAGTGTAACCAGGAGGAAAAAGTGAGAAAGTAACACAAGGAAGAAAGTACCTTTAATCTTTACTACCAAAAAATAAAGATTTCGAAATAAAAAAGGAGAAACCCCGAGAAACTGATTACATATGAGGCTGAAACTACCCGCAAATACTGAGGCCATTCATCTCTCATCACTGTCTCTCCCTCCTGCTGCGCCCCCACACGAGAACAACCCAGCCCTTGGGGACAATGGTGGCTTTGTGGCGAGAGGGGCTGTGGCTGCCTCCACAGACAACAGGAGAAGAATGCTGTGCAGAAACATGCACTTAATGTCATATTGAGGGGGCACACAGGCTTTGTCTCACCCTTTGCTTTTCTTCTTCTCATTTCTCAACTGTGCCACTACACACGTAACCTCTCAGTAGCCCACACTCTCCATGCATTGAGATTTCTTCCCTTGGGTTGCAGGGCAAAAGTGTGGCTATAGAGAAATTGATTCATACAGCAGGTGCATATCATGTGGGGAGGACAGGCTGCAGCTAAGGAATGTGCTTTTTATTCAACACAGAGCTCTGCCAGAAAACATCATCTTCAGGTACAAAACAGTACTGGAAGAATATCAGGGATATGGGAGGGAAGGGAAAATCATGTCGTGCATATGAGTTGTGAAATTTGATTCTGAACACAGCAGCAGACAGATTGAACCTGTGGTGACTAAATAATTACAACACCATGACACTTGCTAATAGCCAAAGTTAGTTTTGCACCCTGAAGAGGCCACAGGAATTTTCCAGAATTTAATCCACTTTGTTTTGGTAAGAAAAGGAAGGAAGAAGGATTAGACAATGAAAGGAATGTGAGAATTAAGGAAAAGCATTTTGTCTGTAAACAAACACTGAAATAAGGATTTACGGTTAAAATAAATTAATCTCTTAAGGATGGCTCATTTTCAACAGCCGTAGAGGTTTAGGACCACATGCAATCTTTTACAATCAACTGGCTTGGCTTTTATTAAAAAGAAACAGATATAAATATTTTTCTTTTCATTAAACAGAACAAATTCCAGTCCTCTTTCTTATGACATGCCCAGGGACCAACAGTGGGGAAAAGATGCTTTAAGAATAAAAACAACAAATCTCCTGTAAACTGTAGAAGCTACAATCAGCAGCATGCAGACAAAATTCAGAAGAGGATAAAATACATTCAAATTTACATTACAATTCACACATTTAATTTGTTTTGCTATTTCTACACACAGACACAAGCTATTTCTCACACCAGCTGAGACATATGTACATGTCAAGTAAGAAAGAACTCCTTGACCCTGCTCTCTAGAAACACAGACTTCTTCCTGGCAAGCGAAAAGAATTACTCCAGTAGTTCAAGCAATTAAATAAATATATCAAGGCACAGAGAAGTTTTTCTGGGAAGAAAACCATGCTCTTTACCTCAGCCAGACATCTTCCCCTGCATTTTCATGGTGCAGGATGCTCTGTTTCATTCAGTAGGTGCCACCAATTCAAATGGGAATAAATCATTTTATTAATTTGATTTATAAAATAAACTAATTATCCACAACCCTGATTGTGCAGGAAGACTACTAAAGCAAGAAGAGAGAAAGGTGACATCTAGTACAGTCCCAAGGAACACAAATTCCAGTGATTTTTTTCCACTGGGTGATTATCTTTCATCCTCTTTACGTACAGATTTCATCACAATGGATGTGATGGTTGTGCCCAGCGGAGGACAAAGAAGGAAAGTTTTAATGGACGTTAGCTTTCAGGAAAAGCTTTGAGCCTTAGTTCCACAGGATTAGTGAGAATTAAAATAAGATTCAGGAAAAATAAACCCAGAGAATAATAGAGAGCCTGTGATCATTAATCACATAAATCCATTTTCAGTTTAAGTAAATCCGTAGAAGATTTCACACAATTGAAACCCAACCAAACAGAAAAAAAAGTATTCCAGTTCCTTGAATAATGAGAACTATCAACATACTTCTTTATTATATCCCACATTTTTACATCCTTCCATGCCAGTTTTTTTACTTCCATCAGGACAGATCGCAGTGATATTGAAATGAAGACCTTGGATCTGATTATCCACTTGAATTTTCACTTCAGAGATTAGTTTCTGTAACCAGAAAACAAATTTTAATTGCACTGCATCTCAAAATATAATGTATATTAGTGACTAACACCAAGTATGGCTCCTATGTCTGACTAAAAATGAAGAAAGCTTGTCTGTGTGAATAAAGGAATGAATTAAAGCTTTGTTTCCCATGTTGAAACCCAATTACATTCCATATATACACAACCAGTGAACTGGTAATTCTGATAAAGAGGATTAGGTTTTCCAGATAAAAATGTTTTCAGCTTTGCTAACATGGTTTTGAGACTGCATTTTTCACAATTTGAAAATCTATCCCAACAACCATATGCAACAAAAACTGCTCATTGTTTGAGTCCACGCTGACTTTTAGCCACACATGTAAAATACAACAGTAAACATACATACAACCACTGTTATCCAGCAGAAAAGTTTCCTAATTGACTTGACACTTTAAAAACTTCTGATATTTTGCATTTGTCTTAGAAAATTTTTTGCTGAACAAACCTTAGAGTGACCTAAAGGCTATGGGGATTATTCTTACTGATTTTTCTGGGTCAACTAAGACTATAAAAGCCAACAACTTACCAATTTTGCAATTAAAAATAATGAAAAAGCAACTGCTTTGTAACTTGTATTTCCTACATGACCTAAAATCCTGCTTCCTTCAAAGAAGAAATACTTCTCCTTGACCATTAAAAAATTTATTAAAGCTCTGTACAAATTTATGAGCTGAAAATTGCACAGAGGGATTTTTAAATTCCTGTCATATTACTATTAAAAATGAATTTAGTGGGATATTTTTACTGCCACAAATGGAAATGCAATCATATGAATCTTAACACATGTTTATCTTAGTAGTAACTGTTTGAAAATTAGTGACTCATCCTTGCTTTTTAGCCAGGGATTTTCAGCCAGGGTTTTCCATAGCTAAGCCTAAGGTTTCCCTGCCTGGAAGAAGAGTGAGAGAGGCCCACTGTCACTGAATATCAACACTAAATTTATTTTCTTATCTAAGTCCTTTTTTCCCTAGAATGCAACACATTCAAGACCTGTTCACCATGTGTTTATATAGTAAAAAGCCCCTAAAACTATGATGAAAAACTCAAATTGTGAAATCCAATGAACGTTAGGATGGGAAGAAAGACAGTGTCTAAAAAATGAAAATAAAGCTAAAGCAAACTGTGGGTGGCTGGACCAGGAAAGTCCCACTGAATCTTGTATTGAACAAAGTAATTGCTTCATAAAATTTCATTTCCTCCCCTTGAATGTTTGCCCTGCACTGGACAAGCACTGTGTTTCAATTTAGGAAGGACAGTGTAAAACTGTCATACAAAAGGACTACAATTTTCAAAATTCTATGCCAGCAACTTCCTGCAAACCTCCATATTCAAAATGAGATCTCTTGACTTTATAAGAAGAAGTAAAATACAAGTGAGAACTTCTCTGCAATTTGACTACCCCTAAACTTCTCTGCTTTTGAACCTGTTTGCTTTTTTCCCAGTGTCTCCAACGTGACAGTGAGAAAAGTGTATGCAAAAGCACTCTATGAATTAGGAAAAGACACAGGGGCTGGCTTGTCATTATATCAAATTTGCTGTAAGCAAATTGCTTGATTCTGTGGTAAAGCAAGTAAAATTGATAATTTCAGCCTCCCAAATCTAACTAATTAAAAAAAAAAAGTGATACATGTGGATACCTTGCATATACTTTTGTAGCTGAGTTTTCAACTTTTTGAAATGGAATGCTTGTGTGTAACTGCACAACTTAACAGCATTCAACCATGCAACCCATCACATTCATTTAGATCCTACTCTATGGGCTCCCCATGTTCTGGTATCTCAAATGTCTATTTCTTGACTTCATTTTCAAAGCTGTTTGCACCTTCTTTTCTTCACTAACAACATGCCTGTTTCACTTTCAAACTGCCATTCTGTGTCAATCATGTGTGGAAAGTGACTTTATGGTATTTCCCGTATTATTACTTTCGCTTTCCCAAACTATTACATTCAATTGATGCCTCCAAGCAAGAGTTCACAAAGCCATTTCCATTCTTCTCTCCCAAATCCCTATTAAAACTCTTCACTTCCATGCCTCAAACCCCCAAGTCATTACACTGCTTTTTACAGTATAGATACTGCTTTTCATGATATCCACCATTCTCAAACTACCTCCTTGTAAATTCCCATTTCTTTTTTGTTTTCTAAAAATTATGCTGCAAAACTCTCCAGATATTGCATTAGGTTTTTGCTCTGAATTTATATGGTGTGTAGACAGTGGGGTCTGGTCTGTAACTAAAGATCTGAGGTGCCAAAATTCAAATAAATAAAACATCTTTTGAAGTGACATAGCAACAAGTGCAGAGAATCAAACAGAATATTTAGAAGCATCCTTAGAAATTAAAAACCAGTAGCTCTTGGCTTTGAGACCCTGGCAACGTGGGACTTTGAGAGCTATCATAAGATAGTATCACCTATCCACCTGGACATTAGGAAAAGTAGGGAGTGTATTCTTGTAGACTTCGGATGGAAGACAAGATCCTGGAAATTCCAACTTCACGCTATGAAAGATGAAAAATGTACAAATATTACATAGAACATTGTCAGTCTCATCATACCTGATAGGCTTCTACCACCAAATCATTGAGATTTGCTGCTTGTGATTCTATTTGTCTTGCAACAGTACCAGGCAAGAGAGGTAACAGATCCTATGAAAAAGACAATAATTTATGCAGTTTTAATTTTAAGTATAAATATTGTGCCTTCAGAATTGAAAAAAGAAATCAGGTTTCTAACCTACTTTATACCAATGAAATTGGCTTCCTTGAACGGCAAAAATAACATTGATATTATTGTCAATCAATTTTTCAGAGAGCTGCCCAAGAGATGGATGCTCCTGCAAAATACAACAGGAAAGAGAAGATTGTAGATTAGTAGGAAAAAATCTTGTATTTCATATATGACATATTACATATTTCCAAATCAATCAAATTGGATTGATTCCAATGCAATTGTAACTCCTAAACATACAGAGAATGGTAGACTGACCAAAACCAGGATGGGGCCATCCTAATAAACAATAAAAAAAAAAAATCATCAGGGCATCAGCCAGGCTTATCTGTAGCCAACTATGTTGATCTGCTGCACAGTGGGAGGACTAACTATACAGTACTATTTTGTTGGTCTGAGTCTTATGCCTAAAGAAATATGGATAGGATGTGGTCCATGGTCCATCTAGAAGAGCAGGGAATGATGGGGGGTTCATGTGCAAAAGTGAGGGAGAAAATACAGCATGAAGCACTGAGATGAGGTGCGCTTTTGAGAACAGCAAGGAGGGTAATTAAAAATGTTTGATTCTCTGATGTGTATTTTGGCATCAAATGCAGCCACTGGATCAGGTTCTGGCAACATCAGTATTCTATGCTTATCTCAGTTACTACAGCTTTCTCCTCCGTGTGTTCAAGAGCTACCTAAGGACTGATGACTCCAGTCCTCACCATGATGACCTGCTACATTTTCTTAACCACACCTATGCTTCAAGAAGATGGCATGAGTTTCACAGCTCTCCTCAGTAATGCATTGTTCTATTTGGTGCAGTACCAATGACAACACGTCCTGTGCCAATGACCTGCTCTTCTACACTTCCCATTGAGAGAGCTGACATGGATTTGAGAACAAGAGCTGTGTTGCTATCTCTTCATCCAAGATCTGGGAAGTTCAAGGGTGTCTGTGTGGTCCCAATGGGCTTTGTACACCTGGGTTATGTGAGATCTCTCCAGATCCAGTACTCCAAACCAAACTATTTCTTAAAATCACCACTTATTAACCAGCCTTAAGTGAATACTTCTCAATAAGTAAATTCAGTACTTAAAATTCCTGACAAAAAAGAAAGAAGTGACTGGGGCCTTGGCCTGTGATTCCACTTAAAGAGATTTCATCTGGACACCTCCACTTAGGTACTTCAACCTTTATCCCCCACATAATTTTATTATCTTTCTTTTTGTGGTATTTTTCCCCATCTGCCCCATATTGTCTCTCTCTGGCACAAACACAGTCTGTTACCCTGAACAACTTCTTTCTCCTCAGATTATCCCTTGTTACTTAAGGCACCCTGCAAGTCAACAGCCCTACCAGCAATAATATGAATGGCAAGACAACTGAGACAAAGAGAGTCTTTTGCAAGAAAGCAAAATCCATTTACCAACATATTGCACCATTACAAAGAGCCTGTATAATGTACAGAGAGAACAAAAAAGTTTTTTGGTGCAGTTCGATAATTGGCCAGGGTACATTCCTCTCTCAACATTTCAACACTTTGGTAAAACATTATATTCCTTAAGATAACTGACAAAAGGTAGCACCGTATTAAACAGGCCTTCTTACAGTTCCAGCTGGAGAGAGTAGCCTACAACAAAGTGCTAAGCCCTCCTTCCTTCTCCATGGCACAGAGCACAGTAGTGGGGCCTCTGCTGTGCTGCACAACCCCACAGGCCACGTGCAATTGGCTGGCAGACCACAGGCACACCAAGTGGTCCCAGGACACAAGTGAAGGCAGACATTCTGCAAACTCCTCCTGCACCATAAACATGGGAATGACAGGGGCAGTACCAAGAGATCATGAGATGGTGGCAAAATAAGTCAGTCTTCCTGCTTAGCACATGATACTAGATCTGTCTGAATTCCAGCAGAATGGCTCCTCAGCAACTCTGCAGCTACTAGACGAACCCTGGAATCAGGAGTATCAGAAATAGCTTTCCAACCCTTCATAAACCAAAAACTTACTCAGATGGAGCTTATGACACCCATAGACATGCAAGGGCTGCAGGGACAGGATCCCCAGACTACCTCTGCTCACAAGGAAGGCTGAACTTCCATGTACTTGTTATCAACAGCTCTTCAGAGTGTCCAGCTTCTTGTTTATTTTTATTATAATTGAGTTTAAAAAAAAAAAACAAAAATAACCAAAAAACAAAACCAAACAAAGTCCAAAGCATCAACAGACCCACACTAGCTTTTTAATTTTAATCATGTAAAGAGATGACATAACGTACCAATGGTCACTCATGGAGCCTTCACTTCGCTTGCTGTGAAAACCTTGCTGTAACTTATGTGTTTTCATCTTATCTCTTCCCACTATTGCTTAGGTAAACATACTTTAATTTTAGATCATCTTTCTTGTTTCAATTACATAATTCATTTTATTATTTTAACTTACTTGGTTAAGCTGAGAAGATAACTAATACAAATGTTAAGTATTTCAGAAAGGGAGTTAACCAAGCACAGATCTAAATAAAAGAGACTAGATTTCTGTCCTGTCATGCACTTTTTTTGCTGACCTTTCTGTGACTGCTTAGCAGAAGTTAGAAAGAAACAAGCAGAAAAAATGTCTAAGTGGAAACATTTCTGATATAAAGGCTAAGCTTGTTCAAATAAATAAAACAAAGCCCTCTAAACTGGCACAAGTAAGAAATAAAAATATGCCAACAATCTTCTCATGACTACCCAAAGCTAAGAATCAAAGCAGGAAAACAATGTAATTGTAGAAGTCTTTAATTTAGCACAGCCAAACAAAATTGCATTGATACAAAAAAACCCAAAAAACATGTTTCATATTATGCTTTCTAAAAGACTGACAGACTTTCATGATATTTCATTTAAATATCAAATAGTTATTCCAGCCCTCTGATTTCACCCATTTGAAGTTGGATATCTATGAATAAAATAATCACATGTACCATGGATGAGATGAAAAAAGCAAGAAACCAGCACACTTTCCCTTACAGACACTGTTGTGTTGTCATCAAATCTGCTCCAGAAAATGCAATTTGTAGTACTAAGTTGATGCCTACTGTTAACATGTGGGCATGCAAAAATTAGCACATATTTAAAAAAAAAAGGGGTTAGCAGCCAGAAAACACATGGATCTAAATGTTCTACCGGAGATCTAATCTTTCAAAGTCATTTCATTTGGATGGCTAAAAAAATCAATTTCATAAAATACATCAGTAGTAGTCTTCATGGAGATTTCATTTTCCATACGGGAAAGTTCAATTATGATCTATCAAACCAGAATGCAGAATATCAGTTAGAACACCTTTTTTTTTTTTTCAGTCAGCCATCAATTTCTCATAGCTGCATAGAAATATATTAATTAATTTTTTCCTATTTTCCATTGGTGAGTTTATCCAGTTGCAACAGAAATTAATTCTCAAAGTTGGACAGAAAATAAATACAGTTTGTTGTTTTGGTTTTTTTCCCCTGAAACAGACAATATCTTTATTATCAAAGGAATCCTGAACACCAAAATGATTTGTACCTTTAGCAATTATCTAATAAGCAGAGCAAACATTCCCTGATTTATAGCACTGAAACTAAGAAAACTAAAAAGAAAGAAAAACAGGCAAAGTTCTGCTTTGGGAAAGAAAAGTTTCAGGATTATTTGCTCTAAGTAGAATAAACTGAATAGACTGATTAGAATGGAAAAAAAAATTCTGACATCTGTGAGGAAATATCCAAGAGGTGACAGAGGGAGTATATGAATGCAAGAACGTCAGATAAATGGAAATCTAAATAACCTTCCTGTTAGCACACGCTGATCTCCCTCCTCCGCTTAGCAAGGTCCCAAACACTCACTGCTTCCCAGAAACCTCCTGTATTTCATGATAACACAACAGCCAGCACCCTCTTCCTGCTGCTCCACCATCCTTGTAAATAACAGTTGCTGGGATTACATTCAGGTCTAACCTCACTTACACAAGCCTGCACTGACTTCACTTCCACGTTGCTGGCTCTGGCTGAACACAGGCTGTACACTTCAACTAAGGGCAGCCAGCACTGAGAACAAAACTTCAATGTGCTCTAATTGTACCACAGCTCATACTTCTGCTTTCTGGGGATTACATTGCAATTAAGCAGCGATTCATGTTTCTTAAATAAACAATTCATATTTATTTAAGAAAATACCCAAAGCAGTTGAAACCTATAATTCTTAGGAAAAAAAATAAATTCCTTCAGTCACTTCAGACTACTTTATCTATTACTGAAGAAAATATTTTGAAAGCTAAAAAAATCTGTTGAAGGCATCTTACTTTGCTACAGCAGATTTGCTGCAACTTTTTGCAGAGGTTTGTTTTACCACACATTGGCTTTCTACTGTGAAATCTGAATGCATTTAATGCTAGTCCATCCATTGAGATATCTCATTGCTGTTGTGTGCCCTCTGGTTTACTCTCACCAAGCCTTTCAACCAACACTCCTGTGCATCCTCTGACCATAAACCATAGCCACTACCTTTGTCTTGTGAGCACGATTGTACAATTCCAATGTATTACCAGCTTCTACTTGTGCAAAATATCACACCACACTATATTTTATAAAAAATGTGTGTGATTTTTGTGAGATGCTAATAAAAACCCACATCAAAACCACAACATATTCTTCTTTGCTGTGTATTGTTTTTTTTCAGACTCCAAAATACTTTAGTCCACACAAAAAGAATGGCAATATGCCAGGTGATCAATTTTTCATTTCACAACTTGCCTACCTGGAAAAACATTACTCTAATAACTGAAATAAAAGCAATGCTTTGAGAGCAGTCTAAAAACCTCTTTTATACAGTTTTGCACTGTCTCTCTGAAGGCAAAATCTGTGACCTTACCATACTCGTAGCTTTGATGTACACATTATCTTTCAAGTGACAGTTTCCATCATGGGGAATTACAATTCCTGCTAATTTACTATCAAGGGCCAGATGGGAAGTTTGATCTGTCATCACAAGAAGCAGTCGCTTTGCTTCTTTACGCCATCCAATATGGCTCTACAAAGAAAACAAAATTAGGCGTAAGAAAGCAGTAGCTACCTATCTTCTAAAGTAATCAACAACAAAATGAAAAATCAACATGAAAGACCACTTTCAGGTATTACACTGCCTGGCAGCACTGCATTTAGAACCAGGCTATTTAAAGCATTTTGTGTGGAAATAGACATAATGTACTACATCTGAAAACTACCAATTTCTTTGCTTTTTTCCATTTACCATTTTCTTTGCTTTTTAATGAACAATATCCCACCATACATGCCAGCTATGCTTTATGTAGTGGGCTTGATAACAGCTGCCACATTGCGTATGTCCCTATTAAGTACAAATACAAAGCCCATAGTTTGTAAAATCCTCTGGGGTTCTAGGAAGCATTACAACCAGTAAATATGCATTCATCCATATTGATACTTGGCACTCTGTTCTATTTTTACATTGATTTATATTCTCATCACTCTATAATTTCCTTTTCCTACACAATTTCCTGGAAAGTGCATTAGTATGCAATCACAAATCAATAAACTAAAGTTTGAAAGCCTTAATGCAATTATAAATTGAGAAATTCCTTATTAAGCAGCAAAATGCTACATTTATTCACCATCTTAGGGGACTGATAGCAAAGTGGTAGCCTCAAGGATGAATTGAATGCCTTTTAGGAATTCAGTGATGTGAAGGGTAAGCTTATACCTAAATTGATTTAGACGCCAAATTGTATTTTCAAAACATTTATCTCCCTGATTATAATCAAATTTCTGAGGTACACAGGAAACACATCATATGCTTTTTTTCATTATTCCCTCTCTTGCTTATTCCATCTACTTTTTCACTGCTTCCATTTTATCTCCTTCTTATGACACAGAATCTCTACAATTCTCATGTGAAACATGAACCTGCAGTACAGTCCACGTACTCAGCCACACTTTGTGACTTACTCTCTGCCTCCCTTTCTTCATGGAGAGGAATTCAGCTCCCTACTCAGGTTCACTCTCTACTGTCTCTGAATGGGGATTAAATATCTCAAGCCATCAAAAATAACAAGTACAGAGGGGTGTTGTGTCTTTTTCAACTTATACTTTAGGCAACAGTCTCCCTCAGACACTCCTAGACAGCATCCCTCTAAAGAAGGAGCATTTTATTTGTAAACACAATTTGTCTTAAATCATTGAAAATTCTCCTTCAGCACTGGAAAAACCTCTTCTCCTAAGACTCCATCATATGACTTTGTCATCTTGAGACTTGTTTAGTTTAGGTAATCCTGTGAGGAGCAGGGAGTTGGACTCAATGGTCCTTATGGGTCCCTTCTGACTTGAGATGTTCTGTGGTTCTATGATTCCTACCTACGTATGTCACAGCAATCTAAATTTTAAAGTAGCTCCATGTCCTAACCTGCAACCTCTTGTAACTATGATGCATTGGTTAAAGCAAGATGGAGCAAGTTATAAAGGTCTATTGTAGGCAAAATGAGTGCACATTAATATAATTTATAGTTCATGATGGTCATTACGAATTGCACATTCTTCCCATCCATTTCACTTCACAATTCACTTACCAGGAAAGCCTCCACATTCTCATGAATGTTTCCATTCTATTGTTCTTGGAAGCATATATTATTCTAGAACTCACATGTCATAAGTGTGGAATGTGTCCAGTGAGAAACACTGAATTTTTAGGAATTTTTCCAAAGTTCCAGAATAATTTTTTGTAACAGCTTCAATCACAGTGTTTATGAAGAGTGGTTTTTACTTACCTGCTCATCAAAATTTGAAAATAAAATTGGACCAAACTATTCATTTTTAGCATAGTTTGGATTACTTTTTGTTCTTGAGATATTGTACTGCGCAGAACAATAGTGTAAAGATGGACAAGACAAAACAATTATCCTGACATCATTCTAACAGATGAGAAACACGCCAAGCCTGTGATTTGAATGGGAGTTGAATACTTTATAGAGCATTACCAAACCTATGAATCAACCAAATTTCAAAGTTTGTATTGCATTAATATGCATAAGAAGAAAAGCAACAACCAAAAATAGCTCTCTAGAGCAAAACAAACTCTCTGTATCTAATATGCTTACAGGTTAAGACTTATTGATGCAGGTCTTTTCTATTCTTTTCTGCATGGGAGACACTGTGATGAAATTTTATCAATACACAAAAGTTAATTTTTAGTTGATTTGTACTGTTTTAAAATTTGAAATTTCTAAAAGCTGAGAACATAGAAGTTCTTCTGTTTTCCTTATCTACACAAGCAGTTATGTAAAATATCTCAATAAATTTTCAAGATCTTAAGGAGAAGAAACGTCAAATGGTATGTCTTCATTGAGGAACACAAGCAGTGCTTTAATGATTTTTTAAACTAATTACATAATTGACTGAAATGAATACATGTGTCTGCTCAAACGAGAAGCAGTTGCTTTCATTATCCATCCTATGTTGGTTAGGCTGGTTAAAGCAGAAATTGAAGAACCATAACCAATATCAAAACACGTTCCCTCATGCTCTCCTTTTTCAGTTTCAATTGGAAATTTATACTTAAGGGGGAAATAATAGAAAAGGAGGAAAAAATCTTAATATTATCAGGCATAGCACTGGCACTTTTAATTCAGAAACACTGGCCACCAGTTTATCTCTCTCTATATATATATATCTAGATACATAGTGCCTGAATTGCTATTTCTTTACTCTTTTGCAAATAAGCCCCTTTCTTACCTGGCACACAGCTGCTTGGAGCATCGCATCGAAACCCCCTTCAGGTGTATCAATATTCCCAGAAATTTTTTGTTTATTCACTGCATTTCTGAATTCTGCTATATTGTCAGTCAGGGATAGCACATGAATATAACCATGAGGAGGCATACAATCTAAATTATAATCACTGTACAAAAACAAAACAAATCAAAAGCCTTATTTTTCCTTTGAAGGAGATGAAAATATTGAATCCCCATTAACCCATAAAATCCTGGTATTAATGAAGATGTAGGTAGCACAAAATAAGAAACACTTCCAGACAAAGAGAGCAATTCCATGTGAAACTAAGTTCAGTGGGAAGTAGATATAATTAACTACACAAAATGTATATTATCTTGTATTTTATGGAATTGTGTACATAATAACTTAGTTAATATGTTAACAGTATATATGTAGTGTTTCATACACTACATATATACTGTTAACAATATATATATATATATATAACAAAAAATGCAGCAAGAGGGATGGTATGATGTCAGGGAGTACATAAACCCTTTTGGAATATCTACAGTGTGGTACAACTTTGCTTTTCATTATCCTGAGAAAGGACTGTTATACTGTAGCAGCAAGAACTTTTAATAGGTTGCTACACAGGCTATTGAACTATAAAGAAATCTAAGTTCCTATATCCACTAGTGTTACATAACTGTACACAAAATTAATATAAATATTAATAATAATTACCTCATCAAAGAGATAAGAAAATCCATTTTCAGAAACATCATAGCAAATGATACTTTCTCACATTACACATAAGGGAGATAGTCTGATTTTTATCGTAGGTAAGCTAGTGAAGCAGCACTTATACAGGTCATTGACCTGGGACCCATTCACAGCCGTGATTTATGGCACAAGTTGAAGTGCTTGTCCATTTCAGAGATGCTGAGCAGCTTTCAACTCTCTCAATTTCTACTGCATCCAGACTGTAACCTGCTCTCCTCCAAATCAAGGTACAGTCAAAGAAGGGAAACTGGCATTGAAAGGATTAATACCTGTGCAGATGTCTCCTCTTAGGCAAAATACATCATGACCTAGAAACGCTAATCAATATCCACTCACTATATATAGACGGTCTAGCTGACTGCTTTATCCATAGATAGTCACATCTCTAGAATGAATTCCTCTACTAGGTACCAATTCAAAACTTAGTGAAATCACAAAGGGTACTTAGGGACTTCACAGAACTTTGGATCATGTCTTCCCAGGAAAGGCAAACAAGAAAGTATGAAGAATTAATATTCACTTTTCCAACTACTATAATTTATACAGCTCTGAATTTGTTGTGTACAATCTTGTTCTCCAGGGGATTTTGGAAGTGATCCCTCACTTTATATGTGTTGAACCCAAGGTATATAAGGCATGGCATGGACAAAGAAATGCAGGCAAGAACATATTTTGTATTTAAAAGAGGAGCCCCTTCACATTAGAACTGTAGATTAGAGAATCGCTTATGTTCATTAAATGTGCTGAAACCATATCATGTTGACAAAAGTAGAATTTTCATGAAAAAGTTAATGAATACATGACCATACACTAGGAAGTACCGAGGTCAGAAAGTAAAAACTTTGTGATGAATCTAGGTATCATATCTAAGAAAATGAAAACCACAACAGTTGAATTTAAAATGAAATACAAAACATAACCAAAGCAGCATGGGTTTTGGCTTGTTTTGCCAAAGAAAATACAGCACATTTTTTCTGATACAGAAACAGTTTTTCTGAAATCATTCATCAGGTATTCCAGAAGTAATCACTGTAAAACAATTTTCAGCATTTTCTTAGGGACTTTGTCAAGGAACCACAGTAAAAGGAAACAAAGATAAATTCTGAAGAATTTTAAAAATAAATATGTATAATGCATATTTCTGTCATTAAATACACGTCTCAGTGTTACAGTAAATGTACAAAGACTACATACCTGCACTGGTTATGGATTCTACCTGGATGAATGCTAATATAGGGTGACACAGTTTTATCCACATAGGATCCAAATCCAAGTCGAAAATCAAGAGAAATATTCTCCATCTTTTTAGATAAAGCAAATCCAACGGAATTTAACTTTTCTATATTGTTGTGCATAGAGGCTGAGACATCAACTAAATAGTAAAGATCCACAGGGTATTTCTCTAAAGGACGAACTTTCAACATAAAGTTTGCTTCACTTCCTGATTAAAAAAAGAAACAAATATGTTTATTTACTATTTTTGAATGGACATGCTTAAAAATACATTTATTTTTGTAGCAACCTCAGCACAAAGTTGTTTGTGTCAGCAAAGAGAAAAACAAACAAACATGAAAATCTCCCAAGAGTAAAAGAAACCTTGAAGAAGCATTCAAAAATAAGCCATAAAGGTCTGTTTTAGAGAACATCTTGGGGTTTTTTTCTTGCAGGACCACTGTGCAACTTATTGTAAAAATCTGACTTCTCCACATTTTGTTTTAAATTCATGGTTATGCAATCCCTTTGGCATTATAACAAAAAGCAGTTGTGGCTCACAAAGGACACAGATCTGCATACAAATTGGGGTCAGTCACTTCAAGGTTGTCACTTCAAAGTATGTAAATGTATCCTGCAAATAGTTTGTCATATGACAGAATCCAAAACTACAAACACAACACAAGGACAGCGCAGCCTCACAAATTCACATAAATAATGATAAAAGTTTATCTCAAACTGCTTCCAAAGATTTGATGAGAAAGCTCCGTGGGATCAAAAAATATATATATATACTTAAAATGTTCTAATATTAAAATAATTCCACCTTTTGGCATATACAAAACAGAATTCTTATTTCAGGATTATAGATGTTAATGCTTTGGAAGCTGCTAACACAGTCCTCACATTCTTGCTTGTCTAATATTCTGCAATGTCAGCAAAACGACTGAAGTGATTTTATGGGCAGAGTAGGTACAGGAATGCACAGTTTCAAATTAGCCATCATTTTATGCTATCCAAAGTGTGAGCTCACAGCAGAAATGAGTTTAGGACCTTCATGTGATGAGTGGAGAATCTAGTCCAGTACTGTGAAATGAAGATACAGCAAAGGACAGGAGGAAGGAAGATGTTACAGAAGAACTATGCAGGTTTTCAATAAAAACTATCAAAAGGTACATCCAGTACAGAGATCTTACTCAGAAAATTTAGATATGCAAAGTACTTTCTTCCAATGGTCTTTGAACATAATCCATCTGAAAATGTCAGGATTTGTCCGTATTAGGTCTTGCATGAGGAAAACAATTTCAGTGTGCTGTAACTTATGTTTCCTCCTTGCCAATGTAAATTGAATTACTTTTTGTAAATGACCCTTGCAGGTCTCCAGTTTGCATATAGTGAGATACTGAGTGCAGCCTTTATTTTTTCCCACATAAATCCTAAATGATGAGTATATGTAAGCAGTGACAAAACTCCCCAGTATCAAAACAAAAGCATCTTTATCTGTGTGATTATACTGTATCAAATGTCTGTTTTGAGTAAAATATATAGTGGTATACCTGTGTGTTTCCCTGAGGTGGAAAATATGGGCAAGATATCTATCTATAAAAAGTTTTTCTTCTGGAGTCCTTGAAATTTCATTCTTCTGCTACCCTGATGCAAGAATTTGTACAAAGCATAAGGAACTCCAAACTTAATTTCATTATTTACTGGAAAAAAAGGTTAATGAAACCAAATTTGAGAAAGCTAACATTTTTTCCTATGAATCCAGTATGCCTTTGGAAATGTGATCACAGACAGTGCTTAGAGGTAGCTCAGTTCCTGAAACCCTTTCTCAAAGCAGAAATGAGTCACTTTGGAAGGAGACTGAGGAAAGGGGAAGTGCTGATGTTACCTTGACTGTTTTATTATTGTAAAGTGTGAAAACCAGAGATCCTTTGTGCTTTACACACATGCAGATCCCTCCTTTTTCCCTTGTAACTGACAGAAAATGATCATTTCTACAGTGAAGATCAGTAAAATATTTCTCCTAAACATTTAATGTTTTCCAGACAAAGATTGATCCCTCTCACATATTTCTTCCTCCCATTATTCTTTGCAAAAGAAATAAATTAAATTTTATTGAGTGAATGATAACAGCATCCCTTTATATCACCCTCACTTTTGCTGTTGGCTACAGCTTTTTTAGAGACAGAGAATGAACACTGATTTAGACATGTGCTGGGGGCAAGTGGAGAAATACTAGTTATAAAAAAATTCAGGCAGTGAACACCTATGCCTTTTTCAGGAATGTAGTATTTTCTTATATTACAGTTTTGATATTTTTCTAGTTGTCTAGTCAATGCACTTGAAAGTAAAGAAATAATTAAGAAGTTTATCAAATTATGAAATTAGGAATTATAACTCTATTTACTTTCAGAAGGAATAGTTTATACATATGTAAGGCAAAACTGTTAGTGTAAGTGGCTAAAGAATCAAGAAACCACATAAGAGAACAGGAAAGACTACCTAAAATTCCCTTTCCACTTTTTACTTGCATTATTCCACACTGTTTGACAGAAATAATTCTTGGTGAAGATGATACTTGAATATGGGATACACACTCACAGTTCTTCTATACAATGCTACAGCATCATTCTTCCAAATCATTATTCCAGATGATTCTTCACAAAAATATCTGTACTTAGAAGTATTGTTTTTATTTTAAATTTATTATAATATCAATGTGTTAGAGACGACCCAACCTGGACGCAGTTGGACTGAAACTTTTCCTGGTGTCACTTGTGTATTTGTTTCATGGTCACTAGGTATTGTGACATGAACCGTGGGGTTTTCAACCAAATCTGATTGGCAGCCTCTTTTCATTAAGTTGAAAACAGTGTCACAGCGTCCCTTCTGTGTTGTGCCAGCCATGAAATCCTGTTTAATAAGAAAAAAAAGTACAAAACAATCTGAGCTGAAAAAAAACCTGTGCTAACTTCAAAGGATGAAGAAAAACAAAACACTGGTCTTTGAAACAATAAAATATGCTACTATAATTGCATAAATTATAGAAAAATTCATGAAGCCATATGTTTTTAATGATAACAATGATGCAATATTTAAATTAAAGTTAAATCTAATTGCACATTGACTCTTTTCTACACAGAAAATTTTAAAATGAGAAATAGGGTCTTGCATAATCAGAACAAGTTGACTTTGGAGAAAAAGGAAATTACACACTGTTATTATGTCACTAAAAAAAAGTTCTGTGCTATGCTATGAGCTCATTTTAGCAAGAAATCATCATTCCCACAACATCAAAACAGGTTAGTTTTCAGAAGAAACCACTGGTAATGTTATTCAGGCTGATATTTAGTAGGAACACCAGAGGTCAGCTCTAGATTTAGCCACCCTGAATTTGTCTATGCCACTACACAAAATCAAAAGACCTGCTGAACTACATCATTTCAATTCCCAGAAAGAAGAAACCATATATAATTACAGGAGTGGACAGTTTAGGATGTCACCAACATAAAAAAGCCCTTGTAGATACAGAAATGTGATTAGTAAAAGGATGACGTCAGAAGCAGCCCATCCTTTTCTGCATTGAAAGTGAAAACTTGTCAAAAATTGTGCCAAAATGATCCAATGCAAAATTCCTTCCTGACCACTAATCTGATGATTAATACGATTCTGAACATGCGGGGGGGGGGGGAGAAAAAAAAGACAAGATCTTTTGTAGTCTTTCAAAGTATTGGTCCATCTGACTCAAAGCTGAAGACCAACCAAACAAAGGACAATCTCTGCAAATGGTGAAAATAAGCAATCTAAAATGCAGCCAACTGTGTATTAGATAATAAATGGTCATCCAGACCCTGTAAAGACTAGAGAAAGCCCCTGGACAATGAAATATGACAGTCCTGTATCTTGTGTTTCAAATTTCAAAGCTTCTTTTTGTAGTCTATCTCTGATATGTTTTTTCTATAGCCTTCCCTTTTAAAAACAACAGAGACCACTTTTTAAAGTTACTGCTATTTATATACTCTTTTTGGTGTATATTTTTCAAAAAGCTAGATTTTTAAATGTGTAAAGAATTAAGCTACTCTCGTTACCAGTAATGACTAATAGATTTGTAGTGTTTTCTGAGGTCCACTGTGTGTAGGTATAAATTCAAAGCATCTCAAGAGTTCCTCAGGACTGATTATCTTACTAAAAAGATTTTTCTCATGAAGCAGGCAGGCTAAGCTGCATTGCAATATTTCCATCTGTAATAATATGGGTTATGCTGTTCCATAATCATGGATAGTGTGTAGATGAGCCAGCTATCTAAGAGGGTCTGAGAAAGCCCTGGTGTCCATGAACAGCTCTCAGGATTGACTCGAGAAGTGAGGTAGGACAAGCAGAGCAGAAGTGAAACCAGCCAAGTCCATGTGCCTACTTAGAAGGGGACCTACTGCAGCTCCATAGCACTGGAGAATTAGCAAATGCTGTTCTGTAATAAATGCAGATGGAGGAGGATAAAGCTTTGCTCTTTGTACGACAGAACATGGGACCAGAATAATGAACACTGTAATCCATTGTGCCATCTACACGTGCTAAGCTTCCTCTGGGAAAATAAGCCCTGCATGCCCTGCCCTGCATGCCTCTACCCATCCTTGCATTACTCACCCTTTGTACCTTTGGCAGATGAAGTTAATGATTCCAAGACATAATATCTCAGGTATTACCACTGCCTAACACTTATCTCTGCCAGATACACCCCAGGAACTTATCTACCTTCTCTGCTAACCTGAAAGCTACCACTGGTAATTTCCACAGGACCTTAAAGAGCATTTGAGCTTATGACTGCCAGAGATATTCCTCAAAAGCTTGCTCCTCTGAAGTGATTACTCAGAATCATGCTATCAACAGGGTTATGTGTTTTCTGTCAAACAAAAGCAGAAATTCTCATATTCTTACAGTTTGCAAAGTAACAATAATTTCAGAATAATTCTTGCTACCTAAGATCTACCTTCTGTGCCAAGTCTCAAAACTGACAGTTTCCAGCATCAAAATGAGAAAAGCATAATTTTTTCCATTTGTGATAGGATCATAATATAATGTGAAGCTGAAGTCAACTCCACTGTTAGTACAACCTTCTGCTAAATGCAGTAGACATATATGTATAGACTTGCTTTCATATATGATAAGGACTTAATACAAAGTACTGATAAGTAATTTTGCTTTCAAAGCCAAAAACTGTTAAAATCTCAAAGCTACTGTAAGTCTGCCAAAGCTGTCTACAAACCAGATGGAATGCATTAAGAAGGTCTCACTTTATTTAAAATTACTGCAATTTTCCAAATAAAAGATTGCATTTTCTCCTTTGGAAACAAAATGTATTTCACATGATTTCTCAGGTTCTGTCTCTAGGGGTCATTTAAAGATTTTCTTGCTATTTCTCACTATAATTTTCTCAGTTTGAAGGTCTTTATCTTTATAAAGATCAGAAGCAGCTAAAATATAAAGTCAAATGTAATTAAGCAAAATGCCATACCTCTTGAGCACACCATCCACACTCTGGACCCAAAGCAAGACACTTTGTGCATGTTACGGCATTTGAAGTGGCACATCTGTTTTCCGCTGCAATGAAATACAAACCCAGACATTCATGATTTATGATGATATGTGAAATTGTAAAATACCTAATTTTAAACCAAGATTTCAAAAATTACTTCTCCAGATTAAGAGTGATGACAATATATTAAAACAGAAGTAAAACACAACAAAGGCACTGTGGCAAGGGAACACAATTTTCTTTTCTCTACAATCTAGAACTACATGCACAAATTGAATAAACTCTATTCACAATTCACAAGGCCAAATGTTTAAGATCCTGACTCAGAATAATTTTGAAGAGCAAGTTTATCTTTGGCATGTATCTTGCTGATTTACTGCCTAACAGAAAAGAATTTACTAGGTAGCTTATCATTTCACAGACATTTTCCCTTTAAGTCATTTACACTTGACTGAATTATTCATTATTCACTCCTCATGAAACCCAAAGCATTTTCTCACCTTCTATAAATATTCCCCCTCTACATATTCATTTTTTGCAATGAATAGTTTCCCAGAAGAGGAAGATTTTCTTTTCCAGAAGCAAATAGAAATGAATCCAACACTACATGTGTCACAGATTGAAGACATCATTCTGTACCAACAATTGCAAAAATTGTGCCTACTTACATGTCTACCAGCAAAGTCCTTTATATCCTTCTCACATCTTTGTTTTACAGATCATTGCTTAAGTTACCGCTCTCTCCTATGAAACTTTGACAGTTGGTATTGAGAAGAGTCTTTTCAAGGGACTTGGTCAGCTCAGCTTGAATGCCAGCATTAGTGTATCCTTTCAGCATGTTGAGCACAAGTCTCCTGCACACCAGCACACCTCTTAACAAGACAGAAGTCACCTTCTGGGAGTTATATGGAGGGCACAAAATGCACAGCTCGGTAGTACTGTGTTAAACAACACTGCTTTGTGGCATGTTCAGCATGCCGTATTAGAAAATATAAAGGGAACAAAATAAATTTAATTTCTGCATACAACAAAAGGCTACATATGTTAATTGGTTCATTGTGATAGTGTGCATCATTACATCAAAATAGTTTGATGAAAGGTTTGGTTTTCATCCAAAGTTTTGGCAATGTGCACTGTCTCAGATTATTTCTTTCCAACCTGCAATAATAATGCAAACCATCTTTCTTTTTAGGTAATGAGACAAACTTCTCACAGTGGACAGCTGTATTAGGAAAATATGTACTAAAATACCTTTTTTAAAATATTTATTTTGCTGATTTCAGCTATGGATTATAAGATGAGATCCTGTATCATATAAACAGCTAGTTTTCAAGAGGTCACTTTGAACAATGGCTGATGCAAGGCACTAATCACAGTTTGCATTTTATTATTATCAACAACACATAGACTAGTATTAACAAGCCTAGTGCGGCACAATTGCAGCATTATACTGATAATGTGTAGATTAGTGGCAATTTAATTAATCTCAAAGGTCAGACTGATATTTTTATTTCATACCAACTGCTGCTGACAATTTTTGCCATGAAGGCAATGTGAGAAAAAAAAAAAAGCATAAATGAAAATGAGAGCTACAGGTATGATATAAACAGTAAGTTGAAAAGCAGCCTGGGAAGGTGTTAGAATGCAGAGAAAACTGATTAAAGGGTGGGAGAGGTTGGTAGAGATAAATAAAGAAGGAGTTGCTACGGAGAAAGAAAAGAACAAAACAAAATCTGAAGGTTTTGTTTGGTTTCTTTTTGTTATAAAAACAAGCACAGCAAATTTTACTTGGATGTGAAATGAGAGCAAGCTCATTCAGCACTAACACAATAAAACTTTTTTTGTAATTATAATAAGATAGCAACTGCACTTTATGCAGTCCTAGTTCTGCACTCTGAAAGAGCAGTCCTGGAGGTCGTAGAAAATGTTACCACATACTGCAGGAGAGGGAAAAAAGTATGAAGATTTTGGGTAGGTACTGACATGCACAGAGTTGTAGACTTTGCTACAGATCCCTTTCTAGACAGTATTCACAAAGTGCAAAGACTCAGAATGAAAAGTTGTTGAAGGAGTAAAAATAAAAGGAATGTAATTTTTCTTGGCAAACAAACACCCCTCCCATCTTCAACTGGGTATCAAAGACAGCAGAGGTGAAAGGCGTTACAAGAAAAAAAGAATGATAAATTCAGTAAAAGTGTCAAAGGATAAGGAAAAATGTAAGTTGCTGATCTGCATAGTGGTTTTTAGAGCACCATAGCAAAATAGGGAGAAAATTACATGAACTTTGAAGTTCCCAATTCAAGTTAATATTCATTGTAAGAGACAGAGCTGTTCTGATAAGAATAGCTGACATGAAAAAAATGAGAAACCCGTGTTTCTATCTGTTCAGATAAGGAATACAGAAGATTAATTCCTACTCATTGCAATCAGTAAACCAAGTAAACCAAACAGTAAGTATGGCCTAATTAATTTCCTGCAATAATATCTGAGACTCCTTTCTTAAGACATATAATCCTATCTGCAAAACACATATTTTAATTTAAATGCCATTGACCACGTAACAAAATACTAACACCTTTTTTTAATATGCACTTGCTAAAAAAACCAACAGTATGTGTCTATGTGCCATTTTCCAGATGCATTGGAAAACTGACTGAAAAATAACTGTCCCAATTTTTTTCCTGTATGGTTAGTTTATTGAATCTATTGAAACTTGATTTAGTTTATTAATACAGCCTGTCTAGTAAAACACAGGGGGGTCTGTGTGCCTTTGCAGACTGCTAAGTCAGAAAAAATATCTTAAAATCCAGTTTCAGTGTGATCACAGCAGATAAAACATTTTAACAAATGAGATATACAGTACTTCTGGATGCAAAACTCTTTGCTGATAACTCTACAGTCTCAAGAGCTCAATTTTCACGACATGAAGTCACAGATTGGCAATAGAAAAACTTGGTACCATTGGAACAAAAGGTTGAAATTTTGTGTTTTTAATAAAGAGAAATGTGAAAAAGTTGAATTAATTTCTTTATTTATTATTCTGTCTACATCACTACTCTGGTTCCCAAGTACATAGTCCATTTTAACAGTAACATTTATGGACATGCTTTCATTCATCAAATATTTACTATTTAGTTGTAAACCTACTCTAAAACCATAACTGTTGAATATAAACTTTTCAGTTGCTTTAAAAAAACCATGGTAAAGCATGAAATATTTTTTAATGAGTTGACTTTAAAAAAGAACTGAGATTTTTCCTGCCACTTCACCAAAAACAGAGTCCAGACAAGACTGAGTTACTGTTCAGCCAAAGCTAAAGGCTAGTTTCTACTGGCTTAGTTTGAACTGATGTATGCCAAAAGGTATTTTCGACAAGGGCCAAATTCTGTGCTGGGAACTGCACAGGCATATGCATATAATAAAAAGTGCATCAGGTTAAACTACACTTTTCCAGCCTACTCCACAAAATTACAACCATGCTCCAACAACTGCAGCTATTTACAGTGATCACAGGTGTGGCAAGCCTAAACTCTCCGCAACAAGAGGGATCAAGGCAAGACAAACATCCTATATGTTATAATTATATCCTGCCTCCTTATTATGAAAATAACCTTATCGCAATCAGGGTATTTATCTCAAAGATGAAATAGCAATAAAGCACTCTGGCGTCTCAGAGGGGATGTTAAACAGGTTTTCAAACAGACAGCACTCTGTTCAAGTACAGCCAAGAATTTGGATTTGTATCAGCTTCACAGTTGGTACACGCTTGTGCTGGTTTTGGAGGGTGTACCAGTTGCTTTCTTAAAAGACAAAGCCAAAATATAGCTTGCAGCTTATACTCCCTGATCACGGCCCCCACACTGGTGAACACTCATTAAGGCAAGCAGATAGGAAAATATTCAGCTTCCACAGAGCTGGTTTTCCTTCAATTGTGCACCTAATATTGTTCAAGGGCAGCCATCAGCCAGGCTATCCCTCTGCACAGATAGTGAATGAGGCCTTCACTAACTTGTGTATAGCCTAATTTATGAGGAAAGCTGGAGCTTTTATACAGTATACTGCAGTTACCTTCACCTTTCTGTCTTCAGAGCAGAGCAACATGATCCTGCAGAGGGGACAGACAGTGGCAGTCCCACCTAACACACGGCTTCCCCATTCACTCTGGCTGAGGGTGCAGGTACAATGAAACGCATTATAAAAATGCTACAGAGGAGGGATTATTTTTCCATGATTATTATGTAGGACAGTAACTTGCTCAGATTACAGGAAAAAAATGAGTGTCTGTGCTTTAACTGCCATTCCTAAAACCCAGTCCTGGAATTAGGGATTTTCCCCTCTTTTTTTTTTTTATTTTTTTTTCCAAACAATAAATATATTATCTCTTCCTTTTGTGCCATACCTTAAAAACACACAATGTCATCACCAGATTTTCCAATAAGATTACAAGGTATACCTCAAAATCAGCTTTAAGAGGTACTCAACCTTGCCCAGGAAAGGAGATTCCAACTTGAATACTGTACACTTTTTATGCTTTATAATAAAATTCTAAGATTACTTGAGAATACCAAATTCTTTCCTCTCCCATTTTTTTCTATTTCATATGGGATTTGTTAATTTGTTTCACTTCGTCATTAACTTTTGGGCATTTTAGTTTCACTATTTAGACAGAAAGAAGCTAAGCTGCACACTGACTTTAAAATGTTTTTGCCAGCAACAAAAGAAGCAGTAAACTAAAACTGCATGGCAGAGATATGTTTTTACTAAGAAAATAAAGACGTGTAAAAGAAAGGTGCAAAACACTATTAAATTCTGAGCTCTCAAAAAATACTTCTGTAAACCTGGCACGTGAGTAAAAACACCTTTCCAAACAAACAAACAAGATAAAAAACCCTTCAAATCAAACGAATCAACTTTTACAGTGCTGCTAATAGGAAAAATGGAACTGGAAGAGATAAACCGTAATGTGGTTACAGAAATGGCAAGAGGCAGAGGTGAGAATCGAGTAAGAAGTCTTTGCACATCTAAATAAATGCAGTGAAAAGAATCACTAGTGAACAAGTCCTCA